TGGTGGATTCAATTATAGATATGGGTAATCTACAATTGAACCCACTTCTTAGAAAAAGGGTGATTCCCTAGAGGGTTTCTAGCCTAAAGCCGAATCAAACAAAATAAACAAAAGAAAAACTAAACCCAGAGGTTCCTAGCCTCAAGGTAATATACTAAGAAATTAAAATCTAAACTAGCAAAATAAATTAACAAGAATTAAATGCAGAGAAATTAAATCTATTTCTACATAAGCATGAAATAAAATCTAAGGCAGAGGTTCTAGCCTTCTTGGCCCCCTATTATACAAGAAATAAAAATCCTAAATACTACAAAGCATTAGAAACTTAACACTGAATAACAAAAAATGGAAATAAAATAGAAAAGGAAAGAACAGCAAACCTCTAAAATTCTCATCTCCATCTTCATCATCCAACCAAGAAGAAGAAATATTTAAAGTGGAAAAAATATTATTATTAAATTGCCACTAAGTACAATTTTTTTTTTTGAAGCGCCTTCTCAATTAAAGTAGTCCCTCCTCTCCAAAAGGAAGTTTACAAAAATTTTCACACGCTCTAACCCCTCACTCTCAACCCTAATTATAGATAAACATCAGTGAGATTGAGAGCCATTGATCAAACTTTGAGCCCCAAGAATGCAATTTCAGCCTGTTGATGAAATCTGGAGGACTTGCAATGATACCGGCATCGCATGCTGCATCGATGCTAGCATCGATTAACCTGCATCGCGATGCGCATCGATGCTAATAAAAATTCTGACTCACGGTTGCTTCGTCTCGTCGAGATAGGCTTTTTATATATTATATTGGTTAAATTCCGCTATCTCGGATTGGAGTATTCGTCGTTTCTTTGTGGCCGAATCCATTTTGAATATGATTTCTTTTCATATTGGATGTTTTGATTTCTCTGGCCTTCTACAGCTACTCGGCTTGATCTGGGCTTTTGGATATTTTGGAAAGATTTTTCCAACTGGGCTCTTTGCTTCATTTCTTCATTTTATCAATGGTTTTTGTTGAGAAATGAGAGTTTGAGATTTATTCTTCATTAACCTGACAATTAAAGATAAAAACAATTATTAGTAGTATATTTATTCATATAAAATAGATAATGAGGGTATAAAACTGTAATAAAATATGATTATCAGTTATTTAGCGACGGAATTTTTTTTTTTTGCCGCTAAAAGATATAGCAACGGTTTTTTAACCTTTAGCGACGGATTTATCTGGCACCAAAGAGTCTAAATCCAGTAGTGATAGGAATTACAAATATCCCCTACATAATTTATAAATTATAGAAAACATCCTTAAAGTTTCAAAAGTTACAAACAAATATTTAAATTTTAAAATTTACAAAAAATACCGAGAGAATTTAAAATTAATTAGTAAATTGAAAGCATAGGAATTATAAATAGTCTATAAATAATTTATAATCTGTAGAAAAAGCCTATAAATTTAAAAAATTATAAAAAACCCCTAAAATTCATAATTTATAGAAAAAACATCATGAGAATTTCTAACCTATATACACTAATCTACTACTTATAAACTAAAAGAGAACAACAAAAGAGTTATGATAAACAGTAAAATAACCACCAAAACAGCCTCTCCGACTAAGCATTTTATTGCTTTTATTAAAAAAATTAATTAATAACCAAATAACCGCTCATCATTTCTAATATAACTGTATCCCCTCTCACATTCAGCGATAACCGCCTCACATTCTCCGATAACGCCGCCCCTCTCACTTCGCTCTCTATCTCTCTCTCTCCTTTTTCACTTTCTCTCTCCTCCCCCAAAAGACCAGATCCTGGAACACCACTTACCACCCCTGTTTTAGGGTTTCGCCGCCGCTGACACCCAAATGCCTTCCCTCAGTTTCTAGGGTACGTACGCCAACCATTTCTCCTCTTTAAACGACTTGCGCCTTATCTCCGAAGAAATTCGTCCTCACAATCTTTTGATTATCCTTGATCGCCATTGAGAAGAATTCTCTATTATTAATTTCTTTGTTGGAGTTGGTAGAGGTTGTTAGAGAAAAAACAAAAAGAAATCCTTTTTCCATTTGGTTCTTTTTTTTTGTGAGGATGATTTGGAAATTAACTGCCAGATGATGATTGCCCTTGATAGAAATTACAATGTATATTGCTCGCTTTTTTATCATGGTTTTGTTTTCCTTTGATTTTTTTCTTCTATTGGGACAGATTTTAGTTGTGTTTTTGGTTTTGGTTACAGTTATGGATGAGGATTTTGACAGAGGTGACTGTAGAACTGCAAATATTTCTGGAGAATTGGAAACTTGTGCTCGCGGGTCTCATATTTCAGGTAACATTATAGATTAATCCGAATTTAGGGTCCTCTATTGGAAATGTGATTGATTAGAGGGTGAAAATGTTGATTTAGCCCTTTGAAGGTAAATTTTTTGGAGTTATATAAATTATTGTACATATCTGATATAGATTGGAGGTATCTGATTAGGTTCTTTTTTAAAAGCATTTGGGGTTTGTTGAGTTGGCATTGACGAATTGTATTTGTCTTTTTTAAATTGTATTATTCGTTTGTTTTTTTATACCGACTACCGAAATTCTCCTTGCGCCGCCCCCCGGTAAAGCATATGCTGAAATATTAGGATTCATTTATTATATTGTTGCTATGTGATTTTTTTGTTACCTGTTTTCTTCCAATAAGAAAATATTTGTTGTTCTGCTTAATTATAACTGTCTTGCACTCTTAAATCTCTCTTCTTCCAGTAACCAAATATTCATTGTTTTGCTTATAATTATCTCGCAATCTCTCTCTCTCTCTCTCTCTCTCTCTCTCTCCCTCTCTCTCTCTCTCTCACAGAATATACATCATGTTCTTTTATTAATGTTTTCGTTGACAATGCATAAACAAAATTAGATACTTACGTCTTGACTTTGCCTGTTCTTAGTACATTCATGGTCTGGCTGTTCATGGAGTTCACTATTTACATCAACCTGGGCCTGTTCTCCAAGATCTTGGGTTCATTCTCCTCCCGGTATTTAAATACTCTAACAGATAACATATTTTCTGGATTAATTAATCATAATTTGTTGAAGAAGCTATCTAAGTGGACAAAGATATTCTTTCCACCTCCACCTTGCTGGCAAATCCTTCACCACCGCTAGCCGCCGCATCCAACTCCATCTCACCTGTCAAATCTCTATTGCCTCTAATTAACTCCAATTAAAATTTAGTCGAGTAATTTTATGTGAGTATTTTTTTTGGGTAATTTTGGCCGAGTAAGTTTATGAAACAGTTACAATTGACCCTTATATCAAATTAGATTGAGCGTACCTGATATTGCTTTTAAGTTTGGAGTTGCGTGCTCTAATGATGGACGAGTTGTTTGTCTGTAAATTATAGTAATATATCCTATTAATTTTCACATGTACGATATTTATGTGCAACTAAGCCGCTTGAATTTGAAAACATATTTAAATAACTTCTTGGAATTATAATGAAACATGTGAAAAGGATAAATGAAACTATCTTTGAAGTATCATCTTGATAAGCAGCTGAGGAAATAAGGATAATTACCACAATGTGTTTTAATCTAGATGTGATAGTAATACATGTGGGTTAGAGAGAGCATCGGACTTATGCAAAATCAGCATTCGGAGCCCGTTAAGACCCCATACCCGCAAATGGGTGGTTTTAGACGTGCGACTCCCAACATAACCTTGGATCGCTCAAAGACAAAAATAAATTGTCCTGAGAATGCCAACAAGGTTTTATACCCCCAGAAGAAGACGCATTCACCAAATGATATCGTCATACCTGGGAGATCATGCCAACAGACGATACGATTTTTTGGCAATCATACCGATGAATCGTATTATCAAGTTGGGGTTGTGAATTGTGAATAATTTTCGAAAGAGAGTTATTCGAGAGATAAACTCTCGTTGTTCCTGTGCGCGACTCGTTAAAACAGCATTATCAGAATGTGACTGTTTCAAACGAGAAGTCATCCCGCGAAAAATCTCTGTATTATCGAAGCCTAAGCCGAGACATTTCCCCAAAAGAAAATCAGCTGCCCAAGATGATGAATTCCTTGAAGTCACCATCAACGTGGCTGATAAAAGAAAGTCTAAGCGGCATTCAAGTGACTCAAATCCCGACTTTTCCCCAGAAGGAAAAGTCAATTCAAGAATCGCCCGACGGAAGTCTCGACTCCGACCAGGAGCTATCAAGGGAATGCATGAAGGGATGCCGTCAGAGGATGAACTCTCGGACACTTGTTCTGCAATCGCTTCGGATGATACAATATCTAGCACAGGAAAAATCAGAGAAGTATTCACAATCACTGCTGATCAGTTCACTCAAATACTTCAGGAAGCTCTAGCCAAACAACGTGAAGAAATTAGAGCAGAAGTGAAGACAGAGATGAAGTTGGCTATTCAACAAATGAAAGAATTGCTAGCGCAACGATCTCAACTTCCTGAGTCCGGTCAGCAAGCTGAATCTAGCCGCCGCAATCAAAATATTGCAGATGACAGTGATCCAGAAGTGGATGAAGTCATTATGGCTGATACACCTCCCAATGACAATAACGCTGGGGGTGGTTTAACGGATCCTCCCAATAACGATATTGGGGGTGGTTCAATAGCACCTCTCAAAAGGGGTGGCCTAACTCATTCTCCTCAACGCCCTTCGAATGAAGAAAGAGACGATAACGAGAAAATGCAAAAGCTTGAAGACAAAATCAATGCTTTGATGACGGCTCAAGAAGTTAAGAAGACGGGTATTCCATGTCCTTATCCGAGGGAATGGGATTCAATACCATACCCGACCAAATTCAATCTGATTAACTTCACACCGTTTGAAGGGAAGAGTTCGCCGATTCAACACTTGATTTATTTCAAGTCTCATTTGGGCATGATCTCTGGAAACGAGGCTTTAATGGTCCGGTCATTCGTTGGCACCCTTCGTGGGCCCGCCTTCGATTGGTACCGACGGCTCAAGCCAGGGAGCATCAATTGCTGGGATGACATGGAAAGTTTGTTCCTCAGCAACTTCTTCGATGATGACACCGAAGTGTCAATCGGAATCCTTTTGGATGAGAAGCAAAAAGACGGAGAGTCAGTCGACAATTTTGTCAAGCGTTTCCGTAACATGGCGATGAATTGCAGAGATCCTATTACAGAGGAGTTCATCCTGCAAACATGTCACAATAACCTCTCCATCGATGTCCTGGAAGCTCTGGGGGTCGTGCCATCCACAACTTGGAAGGAGTTAAAATCTCGGGGTGAACAAGCTGAGCACTTTCTTAAAAGAAAGAAAGCTGAGAGAGGCCAACCAATGACATCTGCAATCGTTGAGAATGCGACTCTCGATCCGAGGTTTCAAAAAGAATATTCTTTCGAAGATGATGAAGCTCCAGCCACTCAAAAACAAGATCCAAGCCCTAATTGACTCCGGCGTCATAACGACGAAAGAAGTCGAGTAAAGACGACCATATAACTCCATTGGGTACACGAGTATAAACTGTTTCCCCTCACTCCAAAGAGTATACGAGTATAAACTGCTTCTCGGTCATCTAACTAAGCACAATATTATGCCTAGTTTTGCAAAGAAAGCTGGGGGTGGATGATCCATGTAACATGAAGTTCCTAGAGAATCTTATATTCCTAAGGATAACCCGAACATATGACTGAGGTTAACGTACTCCTCGTTATACCCAGTTTACAAAGAAAGCTGGGGGTCGATAATTCATGTAATGGGAAGTTCCTGAAAGAATGTTAAATATAATATTCTTAGGGATAACCCGATTATTATGGACAAAATGATAAATACTAAGCTCCTATTATGATTTTCGAACACTCTTTTGCTGAGATGAGATTCGATCACTTTGTTAGATCAATCTTCCCTCACAAAACCCATTTGGTCAAACTTTTAAACGGTTAGGACCAAAGCTAAAATCCCCTCACGATTCATCCCATGAATGAGAGGTCCACAAATTGAACGGTCCAACCTTTAAACAGTTAGGATCGTCTCAAACTCCCATTTGGTCAAACCTTTAAAACAGTTAGGACCAAAGACAAAATCCCCTCTCGATTCGTTCCATGAACGAGAGGTCCACAAATTGGATGATCAAACCTTTAAACAGTTAGGATCATCTCAGAACTCCCACTTGGTCAAACCTTACTAAAGTTAGGACCAAAGCTAAAATCCCCTCACGATTCATCCCATGAATGAGAGGTCCACAAATTGAACGGTCTAACCTTTAAACAGTTAGGATCGTCTCAAACTCCCATTTGGTCAAACCTTTAAACAGTTAGGACCGAAGCCAAAATCCCCTCTCGATTCGTTCCATGAACGAGAGGTCCACAAATTGAACGATCAAACCTTTAAACAGTTAGGATCATCTCAGAACTCCCACTTGGTCAAACCTTACTACAGTTAGGGTCACAACCTAAAATCTCCTTTCGATTCAGTTTGCGAACGAAAGGTCCCCTTTTGAGTTGAATAGTCAAACCTTATGACAGTTAGGATTATTCAAACCAAACAGTTAGGACCAAAGCCAAAATCCCCTCTCGATTCGTTCCATGAACGAGAGGTCCACAAATTGAACGATCAAACCTTTAAACAGTTAGGATCGTCTCAAATTCCCATTTGGTCAAACCTTTAAACAGTTAGGACCAAAGCCAAAATCCCCTCTCGATTCGTTCCATGAACGAGAGGTCCACAAATTGGATGATCAAACCTTTAAACAGTTAGGATCATCTCAGAACTCCCACTTGGTCAAACCTTACTACAGTTAGGACCAAAACCAAAATCCCCTTTCGATTCCTTCCATGAACGAGAGGTCCAGCTTCGATTTGTGCAATCAAAACTATAAAAGTTAAGATTGCTTCCAATCTCAATTGATCAAACCTTATTCAGATTCTCTGAATAAAAATCCCAATTTAAATTTCCTTTGTACCAGGAGATAGAATATAAAATTCTTCCTCTCCATCATCGGGTTCATCTCTACCAACAAACAAGAGACCAGGAGATAGAATATAAAATTCTTCCTCTCCATCATCGGGTTTATCTCTACCAACAAACAAGAGACCAGGAGATAGAATATAAAATTCTTCCTCTCCATCATCGGGTTCATCTCTACCAACAAACAAGAGACCAGGAGATAGAATATAAAATTCTTCCTCTCCATCATCGGGTTCATCTCTACCAACAAACAAGAGACCAGGAGATAGAATATAAAATTCTTCCTCTCCATCATCGGGTTCATCTCTACCAACAAACAAGAGACCAGAATACTCCAATAGGTATACGAGTCTAAACTATTTCCCTAATCTCAACAGGAAGTTTCTGGAGAATATCACTCAGAATATTCTTAAGAATAACCTGAATACTCCAATAGGTACACGAGTCTAAACTGTTCCCCTACCCTCAACAGGAAGTTTCTGGAGAATATCAGTTAAAATATTCTTGAGAATAACCTGACTACCCCTAAACGGGTATATGCAGTATCAACTTGACGACAAGAGCTGATTTCACAAGTACAAGTTCCAGCTTTAATTCAAGATCTCTACAATGGACAAGCGATAAACGCGATGCCGGGAAGAATCTTAACTATTCTACAAAGCACTGAATAGATTGAGAGACAAAGAGATCAAAAGTTGAAGCCACCTACGGGTTCCTCTACACGATCTACTCAACCAAGCATTGAAAGGATCGTAAGTAAGATCTATCTTATCCAAAGCATCCCAGAACTCCTCTATAAAAGATTGAGTCTGGAATACTTTGGAGGGGGTATCTGTAGGCGTCAAAAAATGCTGAAAGATATCCAAATACAGCTCAAGAGGAAATCATCCAAAAAGGCAGAAAAAACACAAGTCTTTACTGTCTCGCACGCAAGACAGACTTGACTGTCTCGCCGTGCGAGACAGTCTTGACTGTCTCGCCGCGCGAGACAGTCTTTACTGTCTCGCCGTGCGAGACAGTCTTTACTGTCTCGCGGGCGAGACAGAAACGTCGTGGGCGAGAATCACGTGGATAACTGCCAAAATAACGGAGTTTGAAACGTGGGAAGGCAGTTAAAACGAAAACTGCCTGACGGTTACTGTTTCCGAGA